GGCCGACCCGTCTATCTGATACATCCTATGTTGGCCCACCCGTCTATATAATACATCCTACATCGGCCCACCCGTCTATATAATTATACCCCACCTCGGCCCACCTGTCTATGTAATAAATATTTTATAGCACCCTCGGCCCACCGGTCTATTTGATATCTCTTTCGTCGGCCCACCCGTATATGTAATACATTCCATGTCGGCCCACCTGTATATGTAATACACCCTACGTCAGCCCACCCGTCTATGTAATATTCCCCTACCTCGGCCCACCCATATATGTAATACACCCACGTCGGCCCGCCCGTCTATATAACAATATTTGCCTTACATCTCTCTTCAGCCCAGCTGTCTATAATATCCTACTCTACATATTACCCAGATGGGCCCACCCATCTCCATGAATGATCATATTCCCCCGGCCCATCCGTCAACATTAAGGATATATATATCATTGGCATACATGGGCCCACCCGTCTCCATCGGAAATAATATGAGTCCCGGCCCATCCATCATCATCGAGAATATACACAACATGGGCCCATGATCAGCTGGCCCGTCTCATACGGGATATTATGGAGGTCGGGTGGCCCGTATAATACGGAATTTGTCACTGAAGGGGCTCCACAGGACATATTGCCTTCATCGAGAGTAGCGAGGGCATCTAACACTTCGCGCAGTTTTCATAAATGAAATGGTGCTGTATTGCTCCCCATTTCATCAGCATCAATATCGCATTTTGGACACTCCGAACTTGATCCCAGTAGCGAGGAGTTGTTCTGGGTAGTTGCCGACGAAGCTTGCAAACAGTAGGTGGCAACGGCGGAGAGTGCCATCCCCACTCGCCATAGTAATCCCATCCAGTCCAATAGATTTTAGGGAGCGAGAACATGGCTCAAGCAAGCATGGTACAAATTTGCCAAACTTCGGCGGCATGAAGCTTTGTTAGAAATACGATCGAGGCGTGTGCATGGCAAATATGCCAGAAGTATATGGGCACCGCTTGATGGCTTGCGTCGAATTTCTTTTGGGATGTTGCCGATGGTGAGATAGACAGGGTAAGCAGATTTGTTGCGGAACAAGGTTACTTGAGTTTTGTCGGACGAGATGATGATTGGAATTATGGTGCCGCCTGGGCTGTGCTGATCGAGTTTTTTCTAAAGTATCATTAGTATCATATGTTGTAGACGTAGTCAATGCTACATACCTGTGTATCCCACCACCATTTTCCTGTATGCATATTGTGAAACAGATGAACAGTCTCATCCTCATCGGCATAATGATGCTCAGGCACAAACACAAGGTATCTTGCGAAATCGGGATCACTGTACAGTGACTTGATGCATTCAATCATGTCGTGGCAATAGACATCGAAGGCTTCTCCTGCAACAATGATTTGCTCTTGTTTGAACTTTGGCTGGCCTGTCAGAAGCTCATGGTCGACAATGGCATTCAGCTCGTTCGCATTCTTGAAAGAGAGCGACAGGCGTTCACTGACCTGCAATCAACATAAGCACATCACATAAGCACATCAACATTCAGAAAATAAATGGTGACCGACTTACCCCCTCGATAGCAAGTAAGTCAGACAAAGCAGTCGAACTGAGTCCATGAAGTTTTGCCCATCTTGTGACCTCCCAATCCATCTTAGATGCAAATGGGTGATATGTATTCTCCTGGTCGCCATCAGTGGAAAGATGCGCACCATACGCCACATTGGCAGTATGATTGTTAGAAATAGGTTTCCCGGCATGCGAGTCTGGATAGGGCGCGATAACACAACCATGCTGCCCTTGGGCGCATTCTTGAATCTCCTGGTTACCATGGTGTTGTTCTTCATCAGCAGCCAAATCTTCCATGACATCCATGTCACTGTGGTCATATTGCTGTTCAACTGGAGGCTCCCACTCAGGTTCGTTATTTGCTTCATTGTCCGATCCATTGTCCGCTCCATCATCCGGGCCAGATCCCTCACGAGCCCACACAAACTCTTCCATGTCATAACCTCCATCATCATCAGGCCATTCCAACTTGTCATTTGGCTCCGATTGCAGTTCACTAGCATTAGCGTGTATCTGGGAGCATGAGTGATTGTACAGCGCTTGACAATCTGTGTTTCAGCTCTTTGCTAGATGCTGACTGAGGCCTATGACAGTGAAATTGTCCCACAAACAAGCTGGGCAGCTTGCAGACATTGTGTTTAGCAAGGGTGCTCCCGACCAGCGTTACACAAGGGAGTAGATAGGCAAGGGGGGCAAAGGGTGCTCCCGACCAGCGTTACACAAGGGAGTAGATAGACAAGGGGGGCAAAGGGTGCTCCTGACCAGCGTTACACAAGGGAGTAGATGCTATGAGGGTAGAGGTTAGCCCGATTAATGTTTAGACCCTTGAATTGAACGTACCAAATGGACTGCCTCCGAGCCCCCTTGAAATGCAGGACAATGTTATATTCGGCACCCAGTCGAGGTGAAAGTAAAGGGTAGAGGGAGTACTAGTAGACGCTATTAGAGATGGGGGTTAGCCTGAGTGTTGACTGACAATTGGACCCTTGACAGCAAATTGAACTCACCGATGACTGCCTCCAGCACCCCTTGAAATGCAATAATGCGCTAAAATTTAGAGGCACCGAAAGGTCGAGAGTCAGCACCTGCATTCAAACAACAAGACCAGTGCCCGATGAGCAGTATATGCCAAAGTGAAGGGTGGACGGAGTAAAGGACACCTTGTGCCAAAGATAAGGGTGAAGGGTGAGGGAGCAGTGGATCAACGTGGCCGATATATGCGCAAATGTCCTAGTGAGTCTGAGGTAAAGAGAGCTCACCTAATGACTCGAAACTGCCTCCAATGCACTGCACTGCACTCAACGTCATGGTTAAAAATGTCAACACAAAATCTAACAGCATTGTCAAATTTTTATTTCACCCCCCCTCCCCGCTCTTTTTGTACCTTGAACATTCATTCTGTTAGCTTCCTGTCCTTGCAATCCAGTATAGCATGTACGCACCTCTTAATTCTTGTGGTGAGTAAAATTATTTTGAAGATCAGTGAGACGGCAGATTCTCACTGGGCTTGGATAGAGCCCTGAATTGCGAAGAAAAAAGCTATGGAAAAAGCCAGTAAGCAAGTGACTTTGGTCAGGCTTTAAATCAGAGAATTCAATGCTTACCTACTACTTCAGTTTGGATGCCTGAAAAGTCGGCAAGAAAAGTTCATCAACAAAAAGCACCTCCCAACCCACTGGCGAGTAGGCAGCCCACCAAAGCAAAACGACCAGCACCGAGTGTGATCGCTCAGATTGACAAGGGTTTGCCTTCAAAACTGAGTATATCACTCATTCTATGTATCTAAATCATAGCGATAAGTACTAACTTTGATGGTAGAGCGTCAGCGTACCTTTGTGAATGAGGATGATGGGGATGATTCTAGTGGCCATGGTAGCGACTCAGAGGACTTGCGACCTGAAAAAACTCAAGGTTAGTTATAGATGACAAAAGGTTTGAATCTTACTCAGACCATGATGTGCACCATGCAGGCCATCCTAAAAAACTCTCTCGCACTTATGCGATGCACGATGTGACTGCGATGTTCGCCGAGTCTGATGAAGATCTTGAGGACAAGCCAAATGGCATTGATACTGATGCTGACTGCGAGGAGAGTGAGGGTGAAGGGCCAGAGGCCACTGCCTTGATGCTCTCAGATGAGGTTAGTAGTAGCACTGGTTTACTTAAACTGATCCTGCTGATTCTGAGTTTCGGAAGGTGCCTTTGCTTGTGACCAACAATGTCAAGCCTGTTCAATCATGTGGCAACTCCCAATCCACCAGAAAGCAAAAACAAGCTGAGGAGGTGAGTCCATACTATTAAGTAAACTATGCTGATACTACCAGACTACTTTCAGACTCCAATGTGGCGTGATGTTGACGATGCTGTCTCAGAGTCCCAATCTGCCAGAAAGTGAAAACAAGCCGAGGAGGTGAGTCCATACTATTAAGTAAACTACGCTGATACTACCAGACTACCTGCAGACTCCAATATGGCGCGATGTTGACGACGCTGTCTCAGAGTCTGTTGAAGAATCTACTACTCGTGGCGATTCCTTGGAACCTCACTCCAGTGACATTGAAGTTGTCCCAAAGGTCACCTCTGCAGCTCGATTCAAGTTAGCTGAGACAATCGCTTCTCTCGTTCAAATGGAGAAAGGAAATGTTAAATTGCTTGATCAAAACCTGGAGACTCAGCTAGTAGTCCGGGATGCCATTATTGACGCTAAAGGTCACATTATCTTCGTCAATGCTTACCCTGAGCTCGTCAACAAAAACCAGGTAGCACTCCAGTCTTTGCTAACGGTGGCCAAGAATCGCAGCATAAAAGCCATCAAAAAACATCTTCAAACAGATGCTCAGTATGCTGCTCACCTTGGTAGCTTGGTAAGTTGTTTACATGTCTCGATTTACGGATTTTCATTAACGATCATTTGTATTACTTGAGGTGGAGCCCCGGATCCCATTATTGCGGCATGATCTGAAAGTCGCTGCAAGTGCAAACATCAATAGCTACTTCCGTCTCAGCAACAACATAGTCAAGGCAAAAAAACTTATGGAGCAGCATGCATATGTATACGTGTTGAGGTTTGATGTAAGTTCACTCTATCCATTCTTCAGCTCAAGATCTTCGCAACACTCAGGAGCGGGTTCTTTATCATATTCCCATATCTTTGCTCCTTCGCCAACACTCAGGAGCAGGTTCTTTATCATATCTTCCCTCCTTCCTCGACCATTCTATTCTCTAACTAACTTCCCTCTTCAACAGTCCAACGACAATACTTTGCCCATCAGGAAAAGGCCCTACCAGGATGAACTACTCATTTTTCTGTTGCGCGACAGAGTCTTCGATGGTGCGAAGTCCATTGATGTCAAATTTGCGGCGCGTTTTGTCAAAATTGCGAGAAACAAGTGCAATCGCCCTGAAGTCCCCATTCCATTGCTGGCGCTTGTGGCAACAGCAGTAATGTCCTTTCTACTAAGTCTTCATGCTGTGCTCATTCATTTTCAAGATCTATGTGGCCCTTTTCTGGAAGACGTTGGGTTCACCAGGAAAGTTTAACTTTTCTGGGAATCAATTCAGTGAAACATATATTTTCCATGTCAAGTTCCTTGAGAGTTTGAAGAAGAATGCACCTGGAAAGTTTCATTGTATGATGGCTGACATTTTCGAAGCTGTACAGTAAGTTTCATTGATGTGGATGGTGCCATTTTGACACGCTGGACACTGACACTACTCGAAGGGCTTTGGAACATAAGGGCAATGATCATCTCGCCAGTGAGCATCAAAATGCTCTGTTGCTACTCGACCTGGAGGACATGGCCGACGATTAGGTTCTGTAGTGCTGATCCATTCCTGTATATGTACCTAAATTCCTCATACCCTCGTCATCGGTTGTTTCTTGATTACTTTTATACACATCTTTTAATCCAATATTAGTCTTTTGTTCTTGTAACATTGCCCGAAATGCGTGATCTGTGAACCAACATTTGTAATAATGACTTCTGCAATTCACCATAATTGTGTCTAGTATCAGCTAATTCTTGGTAAATATGCAAAATTTACGAGGGGGTAAGAAAGTCCTGCTAAACTACATAATTTTCCTAATTCTCCTAAGGCTGCTAATTAGATGTAATTATTGGACTTTATCAAAGATTATCAAAATTTTGGCCGGGAGGTTTTTCCTGATGTCGCGTGAAGCTACAGATTATATATTATGGTATTGAGTCCGGAATATCAAAGATGAAAAAGGGAAATGGCCAGAACTATGACGACAATGTGGAGCGATGATGATGTTGAATTCAATACGCCCCCTCAACAAGGTGACACTCGAAAGTATCCGCTTCAAGAGGAGATGAGAGAAAGACCAGACCGATGATGAATGAAGGCGGGGTGAGGTAGGACCTTTGTGAATATGTCTGTGGTGTTTTTGTGAGTGGAGATCCAGACCAGTAAGAAAGTGTTGGACTCAATGTGGTGTCTAATAAAATGATAATGAAGGTCAATGTGTTTTGTGCATATATGGTTCGTGGCCTCTTTGGAGAGAGCGATGGCGCCCGTGTTGTTGGTGAAGAGTTGCATGGGGAGAGATAGTGGGATGCTCAGACTTGTGAAAAAGGATTGGAGCCAGAGCCTGTCTTGAATAGCAGAGGTAAGCACCATATATTCAGCTTCACTCGATGAGAGAGCCTCGGTGGTCTGTTTCTTCGCCAAGTGCGAGATCGGACCACCATTGAAAAACCAAACATATCCGGAGATCAAGATCTGATCTTCAGGACAAGATGCCCAGTCAGAGTCTGAGAAGCCGTGAAGACTGGGATTGATTCCAGCGCCCCCGTAGTGTGTGCGTGTGCTGATCGTTCTGGCAAGGTAACGTAGAACATGCTTGGCAGCAGAGTAGTGCTTGGGTTTGGCACATACATTGTACTGCGCCAGACACATCACTGCGAGCGCGATGTCTGGTCGAGTGTACATCATGAGGTACAGTAGTTCTCCAACTAGTTTCCGATACTCGGTTTGGAGGTTGTCGACGTGAGGGAAAGTGTCAGTTGCACGGCCAAAAGGAAAAGATGGGTCCATGGGAAGTGAGACTGGATTGCAGTTGGTCATCCCATGTTCCTCGAGTAGATACACAATATAGTCTTCTTGGTGCATCCAGAGTTCTCGGGTTTTCTGGTCGCGAATGAACTGAATCCCAAGTATTTTGTCACGGGTCCAAGATCAGTGATTCCGAATCGTTCGGCGATTTGTGCCTTGGTGCGATCTAAGAAATCACGGTTGTTCGAACCCACAAGTCCATCATCGACGTGCCATGCGATGATGCATATTATTCTCACCCCCTCACCGTTGACGTGATTGAACACGAACATGGCGTAGTCAGCCTCACAACGTAAGAACCCAAGATGTGCGAGGACCTCTCGCAAGAGCTCATACCAGTCGAATGCAGCCTGTTTAAGGCCATAGAGCGATGAGACGGGAACCATTGGAGTCGAGACACTCAAAGCCGGGTGGTTGTTTCATATATACATCTTCCTGCAATTTTCCCCAAAGGAAGGCTCGTTTTGCATCAAAGCAATCAATTTCCCAATCATGGGAAGCTGCGTAGGCTGAGATGTTGCAGATTGAGGCTGATCTGGCAACGGGCGCGAATGTCTGGCCAAAGTCGATGCTGGGTATCTGAGAGAAGCCTTGGGCTACAAGCCTGGCTTTGAAAATAGGTCCGCCCTTGAGGTCTTGCTTGAATTCAAGGACCCAACAGCAACCTATAGCTCGGCGATCTGGCGGTAAGACCACAAGCTCGTAAATGTTCATTTCGGACATTAAGTTCATCTCTTTCTGCATTGCTGCCATCCAGTGGTCGCTATCGGGGTGACACATTGCTTTATCAAACGTTGCCGGTGGTATCTTTAGGTCATACCCAGGCAACAAGGGATTCCGGTGAGTATCGCTTCGGATCGAAAGACAGGAAACCTTGACTGCAATCAGGTTCGCAAGAACCTGCGGAAAGCCGACTTCATCATCTTCAACAGGGATGGACTCTGGATCCACGTCAGCGGGAGCAGCCGCACCTGGCATATGCATAGGTGCGTCGACAATGGGGACAGCTGGCGCATTGGCAACGACAGTAGGAGGTGGCACACTGTTTATCCTTGCATTGCGAAGCTCCTGCTGATGTGCTAAGCGAGCCTTATCGGCGATGATGCGATCCTTAAGTAACTGACCCTTTTCAGTGGGGATGGGGACGTGACTGGAACGACGGATGATGGATGCATGTGGAGGTGTCATCATGGGAGGAGGCATGGGAGATGCTGGTGGACTTGATATTGTCAGGACAGTCTTGGTGTTGTCGTCATCGTCATCACTGTCACAAAAGGGTTGATTAGACAGAGTCTCGTCAAAAATGACATCATGGGAATTGAAGAATGCGCCGGTCAGTGCGTCATGGCAATGCCAGGCTTTCACACCAGGAGGGTAACCCATAAATGCAGCTTCGCGCGAGTGAGGCCCGAGTTTTTCCTGCAACTCGGGAGGAATGCGCGCGAAGCATCGGGCACCGAAGATGCAAAGATGAGAGAGGTTGGGCTTGGTGCCATGTAGCATCTCATAAGGTGTTTTGCCAGCAGGCAGTGCATGTGATTCTGTCCAGTTGAACAGATAGCAGGCTGTGAGTGCTGCTTCTCCCCAGAGGTTTGAAGGCAAGTGAGCAAAGTCTAGCATAGCATACATCCGACCTTCAATTGTTCTCATTACCCTCTCCGCCTTTCCGTTCTGTTGGTGGGTGTAGGGTGCAGAACGCTGATGTTTCACTCCGGTCTCCTCAAGGTTCGCTGTGAAGGTACTGCTGAGAAATTCACCTCCATTGTTGGACCGAAACACTTTGACATGTCGTCCTGAGAAGTTCTCCCATCGTGCATGAAGTATGCACCATGCCTCAAGAGCTTGATCCTTCAAGGTCAAGAGTTGTAGGTCAAGTGCATGCGTGTGATCATCAAGGAAGATCATGAAGTAGCGCTTCCCATGTGGGGTAAGCATAGGGATTGGCCCGCATACATCGCTGTGGATCAGATCAAGAAATGCTGGTGCATGTTCAGTCTCGGAGGTGTGAAAAGGCTGCCATGGATGTTTGGTGAGAATGCAAGACTCGCAGTGAGACATCAGAGAAGTGGGCTGGATTGTAACGCCATTTGCAACATGATTGAGATGCTGTAGAAACAACGATACTGAGAGGAACAAATGAGGCTCCTAACTGTATCTAAAAATGTTGAAGGTCGTGCGTTGCCTAGTCTGCTATGCTTGAGATGACAAGCACATTCAACCCTAAAGGGGAAGCGAGTACAGTGAAGATCTAGAGGTACGCGCTGAAGCGAAGCGCGAGAAAGTGCAGGTGCGCGCAAGGCGTGGGAACACGCGCGCGTATTAGCGCGAAGTGCAGGAAAGCGCGCACGCATATGCGGAAATGATAGATAGACTAGACTTAAGTGATAATATGATGCAAGAGATGTGAGAGTGCAAGATGTAAAGGAATAGAGTTCTATTGCGACTTTCTAGGTAGTAAGTACTAGGTAAAGTGAGAGGTGAAAGTAAAAGTCAAGTAAAGTGAAAGGTAGGAAAAGTCAGTTGTAAAAATGGAAAGTGACTAGTATTATGTACTGCTGGCACTTATATAGCACGCCTAAGCGCGGTCATGCAGAGCCGAAGCACTACCGAGTAGGTATGTAAAGATATATATGAGTGAGAATCCATGATAAAAATAAAGACAGAACAATATGCAAATGAGAGAAATAGAAATATACGCACTAGAGGGCTTGGTGGACAGTGGATGGGTGCTTCTGGATGGCTGGCGCTATAGGGCGCTCAAGCACGGGAACACGCGCGCGTGTATACATCGTGAAGCGCGGGAATGGTGCGTGCATGGCGCAGGAAAGCTGCACCTCATAGTGGAATACCTGCGGATAGCACACAGAGTGATGCTGCAAGTTTGTGCTATGTATTCCTAGTGTAAAGTGCCATATCACACCATGAGAGGCATGAGTCTCTACAACACATAACAGTGTCTCTGCCGATATGACCAATGCAAGCATGCCACAGATCCAAGGATAAGGGAACATCGGCAAAGGTGGCTACCTCAGGAGTATGTGGAAGAGCTGGATGTGAGTCCGTGAAAGGGATGAACTCGACATTTGGCATGTAGAGTTTGCCGGTGGCTGGGATGGCACCTAGTAGCGTACCCTTGTAGACTAGCTCACAGATCATGCTTGCATGGAAATTGACATCCCAACCTTTAGCATTCATGCAACTCACAGATAGCAGGTTCAACAGTGCACCGGGTGCATGAAGGCAGTTGGAGAGATGAACGCGAAGTCGACGCTGACCAATGGTGAACCAGGCTACACATGTGCCCCGCCCAGTGGTTTGAAGGACCCCATGATTCACAGTGAGCACACTGACAGGTTCCTCGGTGGAGTAGGTATGAAAGAACCTGCAGTCCTTCATGAGTATGACCGTTGTGCCTGAGTCCAGTATGGTAGCGAAAGAGAGGTTCGCAACGCAGGCAATCTCGTCTGGTATCTCTGCGATAGATGCAAAGGATAAGTCGTGCATGAGGCTGGTGATGTCAGCGGCAGCCGTGGCTATGATGGGTGCTGGCATGGAGGTGGATGAGGAAGGTGTGGCCACCGTGGCAGCTGCAGCAACTGCTGCCTTATCCTTGCCATCTTCCTTCCTCCAGTTACGCATCCAGGGCGCCTGGCCTTCCATTCCACCACTTTTCCCATAACAGTGGGCGTGGTCGTGATCGCCTTTATTGCAGCCAGGTGTGGTGAAAAAGACCCCA